AAGAAAAATAATTAAGATTGATCACTCCCCTTTTTATAAGTTGTTCACGTTAATTGTATGCCACGGAAGAGTCCACTTCCTCAGCTAGTCTAGTGCCCAAAGTGCAGGCAAACATGGGTGTTGCCGAAAGTGGGGCTACCTTATTTCATCAAATGCATTGCTTAAAGATCCATGTCTCAAATTATTCTTGAAGACTTATCATGATCTTTGAAATTTCACCAAAGAAACCCCAACTATGAAGTGCGGAGTTGTCGTCAAAGTCTGTGGTGGGCTGCGGGTGGCATTCTTGTCAGCGGCTGCCTCGATGACCTTTGTTGGAGGTTGTAAAATATTGCGTAGTTACTGCAACCATAAAAATGAGGGAATTTCTGACTTAAGCATTTGATCGAGCATCTGACAGGTAAACGAGTTTGCAACACAATTCTTGTTAATGAAACGAAATTATTCTATAATCCTATGCTCAAAGCGATGATTGTGGGCCAATTCTTCGACACTCGCCACTTCCGTCATCTGAGGCCACTTGTCATAGTATTGATTCCTCATTGCCTTCCTTTCCACTGCTCGAAAGAAAGACCATATTTCCTTCAAAATCATGTTCATGTGCCAAAAGATAATTAGTTGAAAGCCTGCAACTGCCTCAAGGGTCTTGGTTTGGGGTTGCCTCGTTATAACATTTAAGTCGCGAGAGCCTCCAATTTTGAGCGAGACATTTTATCAAATGTTTGGCATGCAACCTCATGGTTCTGAGAAGATTGTACCTGAAAGAGATCGCACGTATTTCGGTTGCCATAATTTTTGAGCTTTTTGGGATTATTTCAATGGGGATGCCAATAGCTACAACTCCCTGCCAAAGATCTTTCTGAAATACCAACTTTTAAAGCCAAATCTTTGAATAGAACTTTCTTCTTTTTGTCCTTTCCTTTGTTTGTTTGAAAAAGAATCAAGTTGGAAAGAAAAAGGCTCTACCATGACACCCCGTTTTGCTAATTTTTATCAAATGCTCCAGCACAAAGATTATAACGGCCTCCATCATATTTTCAATTTTGATTGGCAGATTGTTCAAGTTGCAAATCACCCCTTTCATGGACCAAATCTAGATATTTTTTCAACCTTTTGCCAGTAATAGCCATTTTTTCTTCATTCTAGTGGCCAACTTCTCCCTGGGTAGAGAGAACTGCTCGAATAATCCTTGTGCTTGCCCAAAAAATGTTCTCTTTCTAATAGCTATTTTCATTCCTTCTTTGGTTATTGTCTTTTTGTGGGAGAGAAACTGCTCGAAAAATTTATCACTTTTGATGAATTTTTGAATGTGGTAAAAATATGGTTAATGTATCGCTTCCCACAGACGGCGCCAATGATGATACCAAAAATTGTACTTATGATTTTTCAAGATTGAGGACTGAGGTCGAGCACGAACGAAACCTTCCAGTACCTGAAACAAAGGCGACGAGGTGTGCTTTCGTCGCCCCTCCAATGCTTAAGTCAGACGGGGAAATTATGTAAAAGTATGTATTGTAATTGTATTGTAGAAACATACCTGAATAATGGGGCTAGGTCTTGTATTTATAGACGTTGGTGGTTGAGTTGTAGAAGGATTCAACCATTTAAAGTCCTTATCCTCATCAGATAAAGTAATTGAGTTATAAGAGGACTAAAACACATAAAAAGGCTCGAGACAAGGACAATATTTTGGCATGTGGGCCTGACCTTAGCGGGGCTAGACTTCTAAGAGGCCCGACCACTTTTTAGAGGATATTTGAAGACGAGAGTGGTCGAGGTATTAACCTCGGGCCATGCTTGAAAGTTCGGGGTCGGACTATAATTTTTGTACATATCAATTGCAATTGCCGGTCTTTCACTTCTTGAATATTCAGGATTGAAAGCTATAGATCCAGCTTATGGATTGCCTGTTGACATTTTCAATAGATTTTTTCTTGGCAAATAAATGAAGCAGTTTGTTATATAATCTAATCTACTGGGAGGAACTACATTTTTCATGGTTTCATTTTCTGTAAAATGACTAATAGTCTTGAGCTTGGATTCTTACATGGCCTTGTTTCAGAAATTATTATTATTATTATTTTTATTTTTTTATTTTTTTGAAGTTCATTTACAAGCAAGGTTAATGGATTTATCGCTTAGCTAGTATCCATTATCGGTGCACGTTGTCGGGGCGAATCCAGAGGTCGAGTTCAACTAGGGCGGACCTCGAGTATTAAAAGCTTACTATCGATGGCCAACGCCCGTGATAGTGGGGTTGTTTATTAATATTTAATTATATAATATTCAAAAATTCGTACGGATTAGAACTATAAAAACTAGATACACTACTAGAACTAGATATGAATTTTCATTGTGGATGAAAAAAATGTTCCATAATTTACAAAATGCCCTAATTTATTTTTCAATTAAATAGGCAATATATATCAACAAAATATCAATATTCAGTTTATAGAGAAAGTTAATTAAAAAGCATTATTATATTAACAAAATTGAAATTATTTATGTGCTTATATCAATTTTACGTGCTTGTATGATTCAATTTTTTCGCAATCAATTTTTTATGAACGAAAAGTATAACCTTTTATTAATTAAATAAATTTTATTAAAAGATTTTTTATGACACTAAGGTCTATTTTCTATAAATTCATCCACCATTTAATTGACCAAACTTTCAAATCAATTGATTAGAGGGGGAAGAAAAAGAAAATCGAAAAGAGGGACAAAACACCGGTTAAAATATTTCTACTTATATTAAACCAGTAAAATTGAACATATATTATTTTGTTACATTATGTGTTAAAAATCAATAAGTGTCATGATGGTAAATGTTCAAAGGAAGGTAGCAAGTTTGAATTATCTTCCTTGCATTTGTTTTGGTAAAAATTGTTGAAATACAAAAATTATAAAAAATATTGACCAAACTCTCAAATCAATTGATTAGAGAGGGAAGAAAAAGAAAAGAAAAAGAAAATTGAAAAGAGGGACAAAGCATTGGTTAAAATATTTCCACTTGCATTAAACCAGTAAAATTGAACATATATTATTTTGTTACATTATGTGCTAAAAATCAATAAGTGACATGATGGTAAAGTGTTCAAAGGAAAGTAGCAGGTTTGAATCATCTTCCTTGCATTTATTTTGTTAAAAATTGTTGAAATACAAAAATGTTTGTTAATATGAATTGTCAAATATATAATCTAAAAAGTCTATTTATTATCAGAAAAAAAAATTCTCCCATACGATTCCAACTAAGGTGGTAGCCCTAACTGGTCACCACCTAAATCCGCCTGCACGTTGTTCACTGAGAATGGTATAGGTCACCTTTGGAGGGGAGCTGCCACTAGGCTCAACACCCAGCAGATTGGCCTGACACTATAAAACCTGAGGTTCGGGTCAGGCGTTTGTTGTTTTTTTTTTTTTTTTTTTAAAGCAAATAAATGTTTTTCTTTTGCATTTGTGAATATATTTAAGTGAGCGAATGCGATAAAAATTAAAACTGATTTTCTATTGGCTTGTGAAATTTCATATAATTTAACGATTATAAATTTTATTTCAATCAACTCTTCATGAGAAAATATCACTGCAGTTTTATGACAGTTCTGGTTAAATTATCTAACGTGTACGGACAATTGACATAAGAATAATGCAATAAGTACCTTTTTCATTAAGCCCTTGTTTGAGCCTCATTTTTGGGCAAAGAATGCATTTTGAATAGTAAATTGATAAAGAATGTATGATTAAAAATTAAAGAAAAGTTTTGAAATTGCATGTAATATTATTTTATTGAAGAATGTGTACTTGAAAATGAATTTATAAAAAAATGGGACTCAAACAAAGGTTAAATATACAATGAAAAAATATTTTGTTAATTTTTTTTTTTTAATTTATATAGTAATCATAAAAGCTTGGAACCTAGGCTTAAGCCATTATATTGAGGATTGGAATCCCTATATTCTAATTTCTAATATTAGATGATTTTCCCAGAAACTTGGAAATAATTTCTATATGTAAACAAAGCAACACTGTGAATATAAGAAAAAAAAAATTGACTTTCCACTCAAGTTCGTGATCTTAAAGCATATTCTAGAGACTATTTTTAAAGAGCATGTTCCACAATTTGAAAAGCATCTATAAGTTTAAAGAGAAAAATTTTAAGTACTTTAGCAAACTCTTTATATTTAACACTTAATTTTACTACTCCAAAAAAATAAGTCGTTTTTCCCTATCCTTTATTTTCACAAGCTTTCTTCTAAGATAGTGTTTGATTACTCCACTTTTTCCATGGAAAATGAATTCCATTTTCTTACTTTTGGTTGTTTGATTGTCTAATATTTTTTATAGAATTGAAATTCTCGCTTTCTTGCTACGTCAGCATTTTCCATGAAATTATGAAATTGAAATTCTCGTCAAAATGGTGAGAATTAAAATTCCCGATTACTGTAGCAATTTTTTAATTTTTTAATTTATTATTATTATTATTATTATTATTATTTTGCTATGAAAAATATTTCCCTTTTACTAACAATTTTCATGTAAAACAAAATCAAACGAACACCTAAATATAGATGATTTTCTTGAATTATTATTATTATTATTATTATTATTATTATTATTATTATTATTATTATTATTATTATTTGTTGCAATGGAAATAAATTTCATACCCAATACCAGTAAATTTTATCTATTTAATTAACAATTTTCATGTAAAACAAAGTCAAACGAACATTAAAAAAAAAACTTTCATTTCAATATTTTTCACGTGAAAAATTATACTAATCAAACATAATAATTTACGATTCCAAAGAAAACAATTTCTAAACAATTCAATTCCCTGGAATTCGTTTTCAATTCAATTTTATCTTTACAATCAAACGGATCCTAACTTATTATATTAATTTTCTTGATTAAAAATTGAAATACATTGAATACATTAAATTATAAAGAGTTGAAGAGCCAAATTCATTCTCTAAATTAAAATGTTAATTTAAAAAGTCTTTTAAGCATAATTTTAATAGCTGACTCTATTAAATAAAGAGCATCTTATGTTTAAAGAATCTTTTAAAGATGCTCTTATATGTATTCGAAATCAATCCTAGAGATGCATAAGAAAAACTCAGAACAAGATTCCAACAAGCATTAAAGCAACAATTTAGACAGAGGAACTATGTAAAACTTAGACACGACTTTTGACTTCACTCATCCTTAAGAATTTGGCAGCACACAACACATAAAAGTTCTACAACAAACAAGGTTTTCACTCTTCCGCAGCACTGGCAGCACTTAAATCCACATTAAGATCAAGAACCTGCATCAGCAACAAAATCATGTTATTACATACAATGGAGAACAACGAGTTCTGGTCAAAATGTGGTTTCTAACACAAACGGTGTAATATTAGCACGTGATGTGCCTTTTCTATCAAATGTTTCAGAAAATCTAGGAATATTGCAGAATTTTCGGAGCTTAACCCTGCACTCTGCTACAATTGGACTCCAGGAACTTTTACAAAGTAAAATTAGGGTTCCAGGACCATCCCATTAATACCAGCAAACATAAACTAATCATTGAAGCAATCAGCAGCCCACCAGACACAAGTTATTCACGGAACTATATTAGCTCTTTCCACCCATAACATTTGGTAGCATAATCTTAAAGAGTCGAGATGTTTTCTTTACTATGTGCACCCTTGCTTGAGTTTTAGATATGTTGATATGCACTATATTACCAATACAGACAGACATATAGATCCTGTTTTTACATTAAAAAATAAATAAATAAATCCTGATATTTACCAACCTTATATTATCAAATCAAGCAGGAGTGGATGCCTAGCAAAGTGAAAGTATTGAACAATGACCAAAATGTTCAAAAACATAATGTATTGGCTCCTCCTAACAAACTCATTTGCTAAGGACCAATTTACCAAATCGTCATAACTATCCGTTTTCGTCTCACATATTGGAAACGCTATTTATAATTAAATTGTTGGGTCAGCATCATTAAATGTCCCCAAAAGGGCATCAGAATTGTAACATGGGAGCACCAAAGTTAGATTACAGGGCCGAAGTCATAAAGAGTATGAACTATCAGAGAATATAATTGAGTGGAAATTTAACATGAAGGAAATGTTATGAACTCAAAACTTTAGTCTTACCTTTCCAGTAATCAGGGTATACATATTCAGAACATCCACCACAGTTGACTCAAAGTGAGTTGTGGCATCATAACTCTGTCGTGTGAAACAAAATCAGTGCATCCATGCCAGGAAAGCAATGTTCAAAAGTAGTATATTCAAATGAAATCAAATCCAAAAGAAACTTACTGTTGATATAAAGCAATTGTCCAGAGAGGGTTCATTGACTGGTTCATATCTGTCATAAGTCTCAAAGAAGATCTCATCAACAGGTCCAAGAAGATCAATTCCTGGCTTCAGTTCAGTCTCAGGGTGATCAGTTTCTGCTTCTGTCGAGACAAATGCAATGAATTTCCCTTTTGGAGCAACATTGTGAGAATAAGAGCAACAAAACAGATACCTGCAGAGTCATCAATCCATCACATCGGATGTTAAAGAAGTTTGCAGCTAGAATATGAGGTGCTAGGTTTGCAGTCCCCAACCTTTGCTTAATGTGGCACTTGCGGTTCCCCAACTAAATTTTCTTGGTACTGGGGACGATTTCCGTAACATGGGGTCCCCAGTAGATGGAAATCAAAACTTGCAGTTAAAAAGCCAAAGTTGGTTGAAAAGATAATCAGCCCTTGTTTGAGCTCCATTTTTTAAAACTCATCTTCACCAAACTCACTATCAAGCACATATTCTCGTAATAAAATAATTTTGCATTTAAATTCAAAACTTTTCCATACTTTTTAACCATACATTTTCCCAAAAAAAATCACTTTTAATAAAATCTATTCTAAAAAATGGGGCTCAAACAAAGGCCGTCTCTTATTTTCAAGACATAAAAGAGGAAACAAAGGAAAATATGGAAAAGGAAAAAAGTTTAAAAAAAAAAAAAAAAAAATTTCCCTCAACCCCCTCCTCACTCTTCCAACACTCTTAACTGCCATCCAAACAGGTACAGGAAATAGAGGGAAAATGGGATTGGGGGATGTTTGGAGTGGATAACCAGCAGAATGGCGTTGGGCGAAGCAGCCAACCAAGGTGGGGAGGCAAAATGACAGTCAAAGGTATGGGGATGAGGGGATTTTTCTTATTTTTCTCCTGTTCTTATATTTTATTTTCATTTCCATTTCCATTTCTCTTTTGTTATTATTTATTTGTTAATGAAATTTTTTTGTCTTTATCCATTTTGCCCCCCTCTTAACAACATTTCAAGTGTGTTGAACGTTAATTTTAGTGAGCAAGCGGATGATTTCTGTCCACTGACGATCGAAATATACGGAAATTGAAAGCTGAGGGAAGTGGGAACCATGGATAGAGAAATAGGTTGCTGGAACAAGTGCAACTTTAAGCAAAAGGTTGGGACTCCAGTGTAACTTTCCCTAAAATATCATGTAAATTAAAATGTAACAATAGAACTCCACAGAAACCCACAATGGCTATTGCACCATCTGAGTTTCTGCTCACTTTCATCTTATCTTTAACATCCTTCAAAGCTCACGATTAACTCGTCTCAACCACTATATTCAATCAGTCACCAGCTAATTAATCTTTATTGCCAGAGTTTCCAATGAAGTTGACTAATAAACTATGTAGTTAATTTTTTAGCCTTCACTTAAAAGATTACTCACATATCTGATTTGCGACCCAACTGCTTCTGAGGCAGAATAACCTGTGCTGAGTGAGAATCGTTGGTATTTGGAATTGGGTGGCTCATGATTGCAATGGCTCTGGCAACTTTACCAACCTTCCTAACCTGCAACATTCCTCAAGTTGTTGACAAAAAACAGTATATGGATAATCAGGTGCGCAAAGATGGAATTTATTGGTAGTGCTTGGAAGTATAACGAAGTTGACTGCAGAACATGCATGTGCTACAACACAGACAAATATATATTAGAGTTCATAACTGGTTCCAAAGTACTTTTAGATGGAAACATTGAAGTATAAGTGACTAGGACAAAATCGTTTATGAGATAGAAGGCACCAAAACAAATTTCAGAGAGAGATTTACCTTGTTAGGTAGGTAGGAAGGATCACATACAACTTTCTTGCACTTAGCAGTTTCCCCCTCCGACGTCACACCAATCACCTTTCCTTCCTCGTCAAACTCTACCTAGCAATTGAGAAATTTCATTTCAGGCTTAAAACAAAGCATCCATGCTAACTAGAGAAGGAAAGATAAAATAACCAACAACAGATATAACACGACAAGAATAACGATTTCACAAGCCACAGTGACAATGATAATAACATCAAATCAACAATATTTCCTTACAACAAGTTCATAACTACCACAACAGAAACAAAAATAATATCAAAACAAAGTTAAAAGAACAAACAAAACATGAGTGGGACAACAATGGAAGAAAACAATTACACTAATAACATAAATACCCACGATCACTGCAGCAGTAAAACTATACTTATACTTTTCGGTCCTATAAGTGATAAGCAAAGAGGCAAAGGATGTCTGTCAATGTCCCATTTTTTCCCTAATGTTTTTTAAACAGGAGTAGCGTTAGAAGGGAAAAGGGAACAGATGGAGAGAGAGGAGTAAGAGATATGAAGCAAATACCTTGCACTCAGGCTTATTCAACATGTAGGTCCCACCATACACGGCACTAAGACGAGCAAATGCCTAAAAGAACGAAGGATCCAAGACCATATAAGCAAATCACAGAATGCAAACAGAGAGAGAGAGAGAGGGGGGGGGAGGGGGGGGAAGGAGGAAAGAGACGAACCTGGGGAAGCTCCCCCAGGCCATATAAAGGATAGATGTATGGTGATCCTCCAGCAAAACGTGCTACAGACTCAGCATAAAGCTAACAAGTGATAAGAAACAAAAGAAGTATACAAACTCCGTTAACTTTTTAAGAATCCTAAAGTAAAAACATCAACAGGAAAAATAAAGAGTTTCCAGGGAGCAAACAAAGAACCTTCATCCTCTTCACAGTATCTAGCGCTGGTTCATCTAAGTAGCAGTCATCTCTATGGAGAGCCAATGCATGACCAATGAAGTCCACAGTGTTGTCATCAAGGCCATACTTTCTGTCAGATGTTCAAAGTTCCATAAGCATAAAGTTCAAGTTGACGCTTGTCAAAAAAATAATAATAATAAAAATTGAAATAGGCAATCTTGCATTTAGTGATGTGGTCTATCAAAATAACATTTTATTTCCTCACATGGGAATGTCTGTTCACATGCTACTAAAAATATTATTTCTTCAGATGACATTATGATTACTTTGGCAGCTTCAAAGCATATATAACACAATGTTATTAGACAAAAAGGTTAAAGACTAAGAGCATACGCAATGAGCTCTCTAGTCGTGACTCTTGTCAAATCCATCCCTTCGTGTGTTTTAGGTTCACTTTCGTTGTAGTCTTGGACATATATGAAGAATTTTCGAGCACGGCGCTTTTCAAAAATACCCATGAGGGGGGATTTGAGGGCCTCCATGTCAGTAGCTGGCACCTTGTGAATCTGTTGCATTATGGTAAAAAAAAAATACGGTGACATTCAGTGATTTTACATGAAAAGAAACTAAAAAGCTGTAGACAGTTTTAAACATTAGTCAGAAATGATCATACCTTTCCTTTGTTGTACACAAAGCTGCCATCAACGGCTTTGAAGTACAAATATTTAGTAACATCAGTATGAATGAGGACTCGAACTAGAGCACCATTTGCCATAATAAACTGAGGAAATCAGGAAATCAATTAATCAGAGTAGAATGACAAAAAGAACTGCAGTATGGGACATTCAAAATGGAGATCAGTTCAAGTAAAAACCTTTGGAATCATGTCAACGTTATAATCTCTGCTAGAACCCAATTGAGCTGGAGGCTTATCACTTCCTCTAAACCTCTTCCAGAGCTGAGTAATAATAATTTCCATCAGAAGAATAGCATTTATATTGCACTTCAGTCCAGCAAAGGGAGAAGGTACAACAAAGGCCTGGGATGTTTAAGTTCATTGCATCTCTTGCAAATATAAATGAAAGGACTACCTGAATAAGATTAAGTGAAGTTGATTCTCCACCATAATAGTCATTCCTATCCATGTGCAGGACCTAATTACCAAAGGCTTGAAGTTCAGGTTCAAATAACAGCAAGATAAAATTTGTAAGCCATAATTAGCCTTTTCTATTTACGCAGGATTAAAGAGAAAATGTTATGACAATCGTATTTAGGGGGGGGAAAAAAAAAAAAAAGCTATAAACACAAACATGTATAATGTACAAATTATCAGTCATATATCCTACATGGTAAGACAAGGAAATGACTAAAAAAGCATAGATCTATAAGGGTAAAATGTAGCATATGGAAAAATCACTTCAGCTATTCTACAACCTATTTCCAAAAAATCACCTTTCGGAACTTACAAGACTAAAAATTTCGTCTAAGCACTGTAATTAACAGAGAACTTTAAATAAAGGAGTTCCAGAATCACAAAAATGTAAAATACAAACAGAAGTAAATAGATTAAAAAAACAAGGATAATATCCCAAATGGACTTCACAAAATTTACATCGAACCTCGTTTATATCGTCTCTTACTTTACTAAGCATTCTTAAGTTTACAACCAATCAAGGCACTTCAGAAAATAAAGCCAAGAATCAGAGTGTCTATGTCTGAGTGTTTACAAAATATCATCCAGCTAAATGACATATAGATAGATAACCCAACGTGAAAACCCCTTACTTAACATGCATGTACATTACTAAACTGAAATTTTTAAATCAAATGGTCAAAACTCAAAGGCAAATAATGTCCATCATAAAATATTGTTCAAGATGAAAGTGCAAAAGAAACTTGCATTAAGTCGATGTGCACTTAATTTTAATATACGTGCATTTTAGTATATAAGTCATAACAGAACCAGTCCCATGTCATTAATCATAATTTACCTTGACTTGATGTTTTCGTGACCAAATTCTAACTAATCACCTGGATATTTATCTCGTCCTAGTCTATCAGAAACAAATACCAAAATTAACTTACACCTATTTCATAAAATATTACTTGATTATATCAGCATCGGATAAAATCATTCCAATTACATCAAACATGAATCACTAATAAATGACAATAAATTATTTCCGGTGGGACCCCAATTGATTCATATCAAATTTAGAACACAGAATTAGGAGATCCTTTCCAACCAATCTTTAAATTTATCAAGTACAAAAATTCAACAATAGCAAACATTAAGATCAACAGATCAGAATCCAGTAGACATAATACTATGTCCGATCTCCAAAAAAATGAAAACTAAATCAGACCATCAAAAAAATTTCTCCATATTACCACAATTATCTGCGCATAAATAAATAACAATAAATCCTAATCACAATAATCTCCGAACATTTGATTTCTCAAAAAAAAAAAAATGACAACAAAAAATAAGGAAATCAACCTTAAGGCCATCAACAGAGAGGAGACCGCTAAGAATGCATTCCTTGAGACCCGTCCCAAGCACTATTACATCGTACTCTTCATCCATCTTATCCCTTAACTGATCCTTCACCTAAAATCGATAGATTCTTAACCTAAATCGAAAAAAAGAAAATAATAAGTAGTAGAAAAATGACTAGGGCTCTCACAATGACAAAGTGAGATTAATGTTGGTGTGTGTGAATGGATATAGCCAGGTTTGTGCAGTGGAAAGGGAAATGTAAAAGAGTAGCTATTTTAAATTCGAAAATTGAGATATTGCCCGTAATAAACCGGTTTGTTTATCATTTTTGGAAGAATGAGAATAAAAAATATAATCGTTATAAATTACACATAAGAGATAAAAAATTCAAATTTGATTATTTAATGTGATGGATATAGTTATATTTTTTATTTTAATGAGAAAAAATGAGAAATAAACAGAGACTAAAATTCATAATTTAATTTAAGTTAAGTTAAAAATTAATTTTAATCACATATTTAGAACTTATTTGGTAGAAATTTTAAGAATTTATTTTTTGATCTTTAAAAATAAAATGAATCTCACTTGTGAGAAAAAAATTTAAAGATAACGATTGAAATAGTGAAATAACGATAAAAAAATTGATTTTAATTGATTTAAAATATAAACCAAATAAGCACTTAATGAGCTTTACAATTTTTCAGTCGCATAAACTTTCATAAAAATAAAAAAATAAAAATAAAAATCGATTGTAATTCTCACCAAACATGACTATACTGCCATAATTACTAAACTTTAATTTCGCATCAATCACTAACTTCAATTAAGTTTCAATCGTCATCACTCTGTCACATTTCATCACATATCTCACACTTCAAATTGATAAAAATTGTTTATTTGATAATCATTGTAATCAAGCTATGCACCATTTTAAAAACAAAAATAGTAAAATGAAAAAAGGCAATGTCTTTATATTAAAATATTAAGTGTTTGTTGGGTACAAATTTTAAGTCAATTAAAATCAAAATTTTGACCGTTATTTCATTATTTCAGTCGTCATTTTTTGAATTCTTCTCTCATGAATAAGACTCACTTTACCTCTAACGATAAAAAAATCAATTAATCAAATCCCTACCAAACAAGCTATAAAGTGCATGTACATTTTTATTTTCACACTTTTATGACGAAGTGTAGTGATAAGTTGGCAGGTCACTCAACAGTTACGTGAAAGATCTCTTATATGATTATGGATTAAGCCCTTGTTTGGCCCCCATCAATTTTTATTCCATTACATTTTATTTTTTCTCTCTTATTTTCAATTACACAATCTTCCATAAAATAATATTACACGTAAATCGAAAAAATTTCATTCTTTTTCAATCTCTCATTTTAAAAAAAATATTATTCCACCCATTTTTATTTTCACAAAATAGGGGCCAAACAAAAGCTAAGCGAATTTCATCAAATTGGGAAGTGATGAGTTGTGAACTTCAAAAAGAAATTGAAGTTCAATTATTTAGTCGAGATAAATTAAACTTAAATGACTGAATTAAAATTTTTTTAAATGTATAGTGGCTGCAGCTGAAATTTACCCTGTAAAGATAGGTAAGGAAAATCGAAAAAGAACAGTTTACTCTAAGAAAGGAGAAAGGAATATGATTTTGGTAAAAGGGGGAACAAACAGGAATTGGGATAGCAATTCATCAAGAAAGGAATGTACCCTACCCCAAATGTAAACAAAAAATATTTATGCAGTTCATTAAGAAAGGAATGTACCTTGCCCCAAATGTAAACAAAAAATAAATAAATATTTTTATCCCATTTTTCAAAAAATTTGGCAAATGAGGTGTTTTAATTGTTAAATTTGAAAAAGATTTAGTTTGAAAACTAAAATGGTAGATGGTCGTTTGATTTCTCGCAAGTGAATGAAATCATGAACAGGTAATCAAGTAGTAAATAGACTGTTGAATTCAGACTGTGTACCTAAAATCTAGTGTCAATTAAATTTAACCTTAATTGAATGGCCAAATTGATTCGAATAGTTATACTATAAATGATCTAATTATATTAAATGAGTTAATTATAAAGGTTTTTGTCTAATATGTGAGATGAATACTAAGGTTTTAAATCCTACTTGTTAATCCAGTTTTAATGCAATTAAATATCATGCCAATATATACTTATTCATATTGATGAATGTTTCGAAGTTAACTAAAAGCATCTCTCGATATTAATTAAATGTATCATTTCATGTGACCTTTCTATATCTCTATAAAGATGTTAACATTAAAAGCACTAAAACATCGATAGAAATCATGCAATGTGTTACGTGCTGACGCACTTGGCCGACCCTCTGAGGCCCATGGCCCACCTATGCCGAACCACGTGGCATAGTGGCCGAGGCTCTTAGGCCCACAAAGAATCAGAAACCACTCAAAACAAGGCCTATGAAGTTGCTCGGATTTTGGAATGCCGAAGTGCTATAGCTAAGTGGTTCATATTTTCGAGGCCCATTATGCTGAAGCCCTGAAGCTCCTCTTGCATCACTTCTCCCCAGAGATCCAGTATTACACAAGAATCCTCTTTGAATGATTGATGAGACACCCATCATAGAGTGTCAGTGTCTTGTCTTGTCAAAATAGAAGCGGCTCTACCAACTAATAAATGTATAGCAAGCTAGGAGGTCAAACTTGACACCTAAAGTTTGACATGTAAATTAACGAGATGAAGCCACGTGTACTCCCAACTGAGGGCCACGATCTAACTTGTGACATTATAAATACTTCTCCATGTACCCCATACAAAATCTAATGCAAGATTTAACACAAGAACAAATACAACATTCTTTATATTTTACTCTCTTGTAACATACACAAATTCATACACGTATTCTACAAACATCGATTGGTAATTATTGTACAATTGTTATGCAAACATTTCGTTGGATTCCGAACATTCTCATCCCGCGCCTTTGAGTCACTCTCATGCCCCTTTTACTACTATCTCAGACCCTCCACATGTCTTAGCGTGTTGGACCAGGCTTACGTGTGCGCAGGTAGGTCCAATATCTGTTGGCAACATATTTTGGGTCAACAGATTGACACCGTCTATGGAAAATCATACTATAACCACGAGTAACCGTGTGAAAGAAGCTTATCGAAAAGAACATTTGGGCATCCCCCTTGAAAAAGAACAAAAGAAAGCCCCCATAACTTGGACGAAATTTGAAGTTGAAACATAGAAATATGAGTTCAGATCAAAATGTACCCCCTAGGAGGGTGAGAGAAAACACAGGGGCAACCCCAACAGCTCGTCGCAGGCCCTACTACCATCATAGGAGATGTGGTATAAGAATGGCTGCCTAAATCTCAAAAAAGATGGCTACCATGGCCGTGAATATGAGGGACATTGCAAACCAAAATATAGCCATGGGGGAGCTCATAACCCAGATGCAGGGCCAGGGAAGTTTCCCCATGTTCCCTATGTACCCCAATGGCAGTATCAACAAGAGGAAGAGCTCCAAAGCTAAAGGGTTGCATCACCAAAATATGACCAAGGTGGTATACCCCTAGAAATGGAGGTAGAAGTTGATATTTCTTCCAACTATGCTTCAGGCTGACCTACTGAGGTCCCATATAACCAGGATAACTTCCCACCCACATATGAGTCGAAACAAAGACGTAGGAGGTTAAACGACGTTTTTGATAGAATCAGGCCAGTCGAACGGAGGCGAAGACAAATAGCAACAACCTCATGAGCCTCGAGCGAGGCCATAGCCCCCACCTCCAATGACTCAGCAATAGGATGAAAGGCATGAAAATGCCCCTCGTGATGCTCCGCCTAGAAATAGGCGCCAAAGGAGAAAGGAGAAGGCTAAGAACCAGACCGGTCCTTCATACCCGCCACCCAGATATGAAGTTGATAAAAACAATGACTCAGACAAACAACAAAGGTCCTGTGACTTGGATGATGATGATGAAAATCTACCATTTTCAAGGGAGTTAAGGAGCGCCCAGGTATCGAACCACCATGTTATGCGTAAGATACCAAAATACGATGGAAGAGGCGACCCGAAGAAGCATTTGAATGCTTATAAGACCCATATGAGCCTGGGAAGAGCCACTCCAGCTGTGAAGTGTAGGGCCTTCCACTTGACACTTAGTGGAGCAATGAAATTTGGTGTAGTAGGCTACCGCTTGGAAGTATAAGGAGTTGGCTGAAATTCAAAACCACCTTCTTGAAGAGGTTCGCCATGAGTAAGGAAGGAGATGCTCATATCCAACGTCTTCAAGACATGAGACAGACGCATGGGGAATCGCTAAAGAGCTTCTTGTCACACTTTACTGACGAAATGATGTACTGCGCACAAGTCAATGATCGCGAGGCCTTATCGACATTGATGGAAGGTCTGAACACCCTATTCTGAAAGGACGTGCAAAATCAAGATCCTACCTCCTATGATGCCCTACTTGAGATGATGAGGCGGAAAATAATCAATAAAGAATTGATTGAGCACAGAAACAAGGCCAACAGAGGCCTCCCACCTCTGCAAAGGCAACGTGCTGGATGGCCGACCTCCCACTTGATGGACTACTAGATGAACCAAGGTGGTAATGAAAATTCTTAGCAAGCACTTGCCACCACTACTTTGAATGCGGTTCTGACATTGGCATACGAAGATGTCAATCCCATGACCAACACTCAGCAGGCCGGAACTTCACAATAGGCCCTCCATAGGGAGAGAGGCTGAGTGCGTGGATTAGGACCTAGGAATAGGTCGAGGTAGAATCTCTCTGAGTATTGTATATGCCATCGCTCGTATGGCCATGATACCACCAATTGTCGAGATTACGCACACCACACTAGATGGGAGCACACTCGGGATAGAATAAATGAATCATCCCAAGTGAACAGGCTCCCACCTAGGTATGATTAGAAACCTAAGCATGAGGAGGCCGCTCTCCTCCAGCGGGATGCATCTCCTCGCAAGAAGGAGCACGATGCAAAAAGGCCCAGGGAAGGGCATAGGCACCGTAGAGGCCACCAAGCCCAAGAAGAAGCCCTCATTCACGAGGTAGATACCATATTTGGAGGCCTTTACGTTGGCGGCAAGACACGAAATGCAAAAAGGAACTACGCCCAAGAGGCCAAACACCCCTCGTTGACCAGCTGCATTATAGGTAGTACCTCTCTGAGAAATCAAGAGCCACCCCATTGTCTTCACCCAAGAAGATTCTGAGGGAGTTCACTACACCCACTAC